GTCGGGCGGAGTCATCTCTCACGACGCCTCCAAGACCTCCACCAGAGCTTCCAGCAAAAGGTCATAGCCCTTCTGAGCATCAAGCCTCTCAACACGAAACACCGACAAATGCTAGCGGCCATGTATGGTCACAACAGCACGAGTCATCAGCTGCCCCGGAACACGGAAGTAGTTGCTGCTCCAAGAAAGCACTTGGGGCTGGAACGCTTGGGTTTAAATACAGTTACACAGGTTTATCTTCTGTCAAAAGCAGCTGCTTTCACGTGCGTGAACCAGCTGGACCGGCATAAGCACGGATCGACGGATTCCGCATTAGGCCAAAGGCCCTGAAAACTACACGACAACTTGTAGACATGTACTGTGCCTTCTGAGCACTTGTGCGACATGTCAGGAATTTCCTCAGATCAAACTTACGTATCTAGCGTGCTGGAGCCCGAAAGAACCCATCACTCCCGCCTTCCGATGAAGCACATCATTGGTCCCTTGCACTCTGGCAGGTTGTTCTGCGCACGGTAGGTGGCCTTGTCTCAAAGAGTTGAGTGTGAAGCCACAACACAGAAAGTCCGGCTGCACTGTGCCAAACCTCCAACAAATCATCTTTTGGGGTTTCCGAATCAAATCCAGAACGCTTCACGACACGATGGCCCCTGGCAAGCCACTACGTTTGCTGCTCCTGGACTCAAACAATTTCTCACAATAGCCCAAAAGGCCAGAAAAAAAGGCTCAGATAGGGAACAAAGACTCTTGACTCACCACAGCCCGCAGCTGAGTTGCGAGTCGCGATGTGCCAGGCGTGCAACGCGAAGCGTTGCTAAAAAAAACAGAGGAGTCACTGGAGTCCAGTGTGCAACGGGACACTGTGAGGTCGGGGGGCGTTTGTCTCTGCAGTCACAGTCCGTCACACTCCGGCCTTGAGCTCGGCCTTCGCCGCCGTGGCAGTGGCGGCCTCGGCGAAGTGCAGGTTGCGAGGTTGAAGGCGCGAGAGGTTCATTGACTGGAAAGCCATGTCCCACATGGCTGTCGGTCAAAAATAGATACCCAAAATGGAACCTTGGTAAATGGAAACATGGGCTAAAACCTGCGGTCCCCTTGTGGCTTCATTTTGACCCACACCCACATCCCGCCAATCCACATGGAACCTGACAGGGGGGTCCCTGTAAAAGGACAATGTTTGAAGTCGCTTCACATTCTTCGGCGCAAAACGCCGGCATTGAACCCAAAGGCGGACTTGGCAGCTTCAGGTTTAGCGTTGGTCCACCTACCGGAGTCAAACACAGGAAATCATGTTCAAATTCCGGCTGCGACTCCACAAGTGCCACAAGTTGGCAATATAGCCTTATGATGCACCTACATGTTCAGCTGGTGCTGCCTGCATACCCCAACACTAACAACACTAATGATATGCAATAGCATGTTTTTTGTTTCTCCTTATTTCATCATCTTTGACCAAAAACGACTCGGGCACCCGACGTTGAACGGCCCGCAGGTCATCATGGTCTTTGTCACAAAGTTCGTCTCAGAGGGTGTCACGCCCTCTTTGACGCCGTTCAGGATTCCTGCAAAGACATAGGTGTGCTTTTGGAAAAATAGATGGCCCTGGTAAACGGAATCAAACAAACCTAAACAAGTGCCTTCTATCTTTAACCAAACTAACCTACAAAGGACACCTATGTGCAAAAATAATCCAACGTCTGCATCCTGCTCCAACAAAAATGGAGAGACAACGCAATGCTTGTCAGTTTGGACATCGCATGACATAGTAAACTAGCAACACGAGCAATTCTGACGGTTCTTAATGCTGAACTAGCTTTCACTCTTGTGCGTGAGGTCAGGATGACCAGCTCGGATTCACGGACCTCTGACTCCCTACACTCAGACTCGAAGACCTTTGGACGCAAAAGTGCCCATTGGCTTCCAGGATTCAGCCATTCCACCTGAAGAGCCTGGACAAATCCTTGAGCGAAAGAGCATGGTCTGTGCGAAAACATCAAACACCGTGCAATCCAAGAGCAAAAACATCATGCTTTTGTAGTAGACCGCTGCAACTGGCTACAAGCAAACCTTCCAACTTGGATCGGAGCATCCTTGGCCTCCCAAGCTCTCCAAAGGCTGACATCAGAGCCTCAGGCCTCAAGCCCCTCAGGCACCTGAGGCACCTGAGGCAGCTGAGGCACCTGTCCTGTGCACTTTCCCAGACTGAAGAGCTTCTCCAACTCCACGCCCTTCTCAGGATCCGTGCAGCACTCCACGGCATAGCTGGGAGACACCGTCAGCACCTTGCGCCGCTTGCGCCGCTTGCGCCGCTTGCGCCGCTCGCTGCCGCACCGCGCTCACGTCGCGCCCGGGGCGAAAATTTGCGCGCGCACGCCAGCGCGGAAGGTGTGGCGCGAGGGCCTTCCACCGAAGACATGAAAGTCGTGACCCTGGCAAAGTCCACACGCCATAGCACTTCGGGGGTCGCATTACGGGTGTTCCTTTGGCCAGTGCGACTATCTGAATATGCTTCCTACATGATGTTGAAACTGTTCGCCTGAGGCAGTCATGTTGTTCCAGCCGTTTCTTGCACTTGTAGGATTGGTTGCGGAGTCTCCAACTTCTTGCACGCTCGTCAAGCACGGATTGTCCACCAGTTTGTTTAGAGTCATGCAGAGAAGGGGGTCACAGTCAAACACGGACTGGTCATTGCTAGCAGCCCCAAACAAAAGGGAGGCGCACAATTGGCAAAGCGTGGCTTGCTGGGGTTCTCAGGGTTGCAACGGTCTCATCTGACCTTTTTGGCACGGCAAGTCGGCAAAAACAACGGATGCCCACTCCAGGCTCGAATTGCTTGAGTGGGACAAAATATCAATACAATTTGCTGAAGGCCCCTGAAAAAAAACGTATGTCGTACCAGTGTTGACACCAATTACGACACTCTTTGGGTCCATCCCAGCATCAAACTGAGAATGCCCAAAATGGCGCAATGCTCCATCGTCAACAAAGTGCACCAACAGGACCCAAAGGGATACAATTCAAAATACCACTCCGCTAGTTTTGCAGGACAAGCATGACAAAAAGCTATTTGCCAGGTGCTTCAAGTGATTCCTGTATATTCGGGGTGCATTTCTGACCAAATCGCTCGATTGACGCCTGCCTGCTCCCCCCCCCCCACCCCATCTTTGCAAATCAGCCGCCCGGTCAGAGTAGCGCAGGCCCGCTGCCATGGTGTTGACGCAGGTCTCCTGCGGCCAACATGCCAGGCTTCTCATGGCGCGTTACAGAACACGTGCTACAGGCAAATGAGGCCAATCATATTGAGACACTCTGGACTAAGAAGAGGGGTCAAATAGTTTTGAATGGAAGCCTGAGCTATGACAATCCGATGAAAGGAGATTGCTCGCGTGCTTTCCGAGTCTCGAGGAACATGTGGACAACTGCAGGTGTTCCGATGTCAGGGTCGTGCGACGCGGCAGGATGAGGGACAAGCAGGGGCATTGCTTGAGCTCTTTGCATTGGATCGCTGGACTGGATCCTCAAACGAATCTCCATGTTGGAGAACGGTTTTGAGTGGGGGGAGGGGCCGTCATTGAGCTACTGAAGCTCAGTGGCTTAGCCGTTTCATCCGACGCATTCGACTGCAGTCTGAAGATGCCTTCCAATTGCTTGCCTTCTCATTGTACTTGCCGATGCGGAGTGGCATCTTGAAAGTGATGCTGTCGATGTAGCGCTGAGGCACTCCGAACACTTCTGCCAGACCTGCCAACGCAATGAACGAGGATCGAATTGTGGCCTGCGTAATTTCTATGGCAAAATACACGCAATGTGCCAATAGCGACATGAGAGTGCTTCAGAGCAATGTCGATGATGTTCTGATGCTGCCCGCTTTGTGCCCAAACAATGCAACTGTCTCTCATATCAGCGCAAGCTGCCTACTGTTGCAAGTCTACTGTTACAAGTAGCACGGCTCTGCCTTCAAACACATGTGGTGCACTAATACTTGCATGGAATAGTGATGGACGAATGACCCACGGGCATGATCCACTTGGCAAAGACACGGCCTCGCCTTCCTCGCGCACGAAGCGGCCCTGAAACACGGCGTTGTGGCACAGGAAGGCGCTCTTCGTGTTGGCCCACTTGCCTGCATTGGCTTTGGCGCAAACGAGCGTCAGAATAGAAGACCTGCATCGTTGCTGCTAAGAGTGCGTGAGTGCGTTGGCGCGCTCACGCATGCGAATGAGTGCGCTGGCCTGCGTGCGTGCGAGGCGTGCGCGATGGGCAGCCATGGGCATGGGCGCGTGGGGTGGGTGCGTGAGCGTGGGGGCGTGCGGGTTTGGCAGGTCCGGCTCTAAAGTCGCAACTTTTAAGTACAAGTGTGGAAGTTGTGGAACGTGAGGCTGCAGCACTCATGTCTTGCCAAGGGGTATCGTTTTGCTGCTCCTTATTGTGTTTTGTAGGGGTTTGTCCAAGGTTTGTCGAAAGAAGCCCGAGCGTAGTATTAGGCCCTTTTTGTTTTACCTATGAGTTGAAACTCGCATCACTGCGTACAAAGGCAGGCACCAGCATGGGAGTGGCACGGGAATTGAATCAGGAACCTGAGTTTGAGCAACCACCGTCCAACAATCAGCAAAACATCGTGCCAGGCCAATCAGGCAAATCAAGCAAAGCTCACCAGCAAGCAGCACGGCAAAGCGAGCAACAAGCAGCAACGAAAATGGAACAGCACAGGCTCAAGTGTGCGCACACGCGCACCCACAAACACCCAACCCAACCAAGAAACAAAGAAGCAGCGATACAAAAAAGAAAGAAACAAAAAGCTCAGGCGACATCCCCAACAGCATGCAGTGCTCTTTTTAGTGCACCACCCCGCAGCCCTCGCAGAACCTCGTGGAACCCTCGTGGAACACTGGTGGAACCCTGGTGGAACCCTCGTGGAACCTTACCTCAGGGTCGCCCCGGACCACCCCGGAGCCTATCTGGGCTGAGACCAAACAAACAAACAAAACAAGGCAAACACCCACATACCAAACTTCCCTCCCTACCTATCTACCTACCTACTCAATTTACCTACCTACCTACTCAAACAAGCCCAGCCCAACTCAAACCATAAGCAAGCAAGCAAGCAAGCAAGCAAGCAAGCAAGGAAGGAAGCAAGCAAGCAAGCAAGCAAGCAAGCAAGCAAGCAAGCAAACAGGCAAACAAACAAACGCACAAACACACAAACACACACGATCAACAACTCAATTGTCACCGAACACAGGTCGACACGTGTAAGGCCCATCACCTTGCCCGCAGAACCGCGCCAACATGGCCGCATCATGCCGCACCAGCTTCTGTATGTGTGTATCAAACTTTGATTCCCTACCAAACGCTTGGTTGCATGACGGCCAGAACACCACCAAACCAGCCCCGCCCCCCGCCCACACACACACCCAACCCCCCACCCACAAAAAACCATGCGAGCCTCGCCAGCTCTCTGCCCTTAGCTCCTGCGGTCCGCGCCTGTTGCCTTCTCCGCGTGGATGAACATCGGCACCAGCGCGCTGTGCCAATCATTGCAAACCACCATGCAGTCACCGCCATACCTCCGCTGGGATTCCAGGTGCGCGGGCCAATAAACCGTTCCTACTTTGAACAAGTCATGGCTTGCAAGGCACGTGGGCTTACTTTCCAAAGCTGCGCTTGACAAAAACAAATCACGGCCACACATATTCCCTGGAAGCCAACTCGGCTTCGCACAATTGCCCACTCTCGGGCCCCCGGCGCAGAGCCGCCCAGCGGGAGCTCCTGACCGCAGCTTTTGGCAGAACCTGGGACCTAACATAGGGGGCCCTGCAAAAATTTGATTCTAGGTGGTTGGGCTCCACTTAGAACCACATTTGCTTTAACCCATTCGGAGGGCACAGTTTGGATGTGGTTTGAGTCCTTGGCCAAAACCCTCGCCCCATGACTTGACGTCCGGAGTGCGTCAACCCGCAGTGTTTGACCTCTATATGGAGGGTTGGGCACTTCTCCCGTGCCAAGTATGAACCATCTATCGCATCTGAAGTGATCTTCCTCATCCAGAAGTCAATGGTACGACATATGCTTTCATGACAGTTGTCAGCCAGTCACACTCTGCCACCCATCAGATCTAGTCAGAAAAGTGCGCACATGTTTGCTGGAAAACGTCTGGGATGTGGCTTTTGTGGATCCACCCCTGCAGGATATCAATCATTTTTTAGATGTTTGGGTCACAAACACAAATGACCTTCTGGCATTTCTTGATTTATCACACTCACTTCAGAATCCCACAGCCCCCTCCCCAACACTCAAACCACTCCTGGATCGCCTTGAGCGTGCACTTGCAAAAGTAGGCGAAGCGTGCTTGATTGTCAGCAAAATCCTGCAGGAAATGTTCCAACCCGGATGGAGTAGCTACAGCAAGGTGTATCATGCAAGTCAGGCCCCACTGAATGGATGGATTTCCTTCAATCCGATTGAAGATATGTTGCCAAGCCCCAGCAGAAAGCTGCATCAACTCAAACAGCAGCAAAGCTGTCAAGTCAGCACAGCCAACTCCACTTCACGAGCAATGGAGAATTTGCAAAAAGGACTGGATCACACAAAAACCAAATATGAGCGAACCAAAGTTGTCGATTCGACTTCCAGGTGAGTCCAATCCCAAAACATAGACACGCAAGTGAGCAAGGAATCCAAGGAAACGGGAACCTTCCGGACCCTCCATGCCCATCTCTGGAATTGCACCACCCCCCACGTATTTGAACTCGGTGACTCGACACAAGTCCCATCGGTGAGAGCGATGCTCAACAGTCCTGGCCCCACTCCGGGCCATAGAGCTTGGCGCCTGCACGCGTCGCCGCTTGGTTCTTACCGCAAAGCGCATGGGGAAGCTGAGTGTTCCATCGGGTCTGTTGCAGTGGCCCGGTGCGGCCTGAAAAGTGCCATGAATACGAGGAAAAATAACGGAAGGCTGCCTGACAAGTCAGGGTCGCCTCAGAACGCCGTGGCTTTTTCACACGTGAACATGACACACGTCCTATGCTTTCAGCCTTACTTGCAGTGCCAGCATTGGCGCCTCAACACACCCGAGTTCAGCGCTGTCTTCGCACCTTGCAATCCTACAGGCAGCAGCCCGGAAAACCGTCGTCCAGCACACAACAAATACTAATCGGTTCCTGCAACAATTGATGTCCGTCCCGCCCCCCCACCCGGACGCTGATCTTGCTCGATCATTGAGCCATTGAGCGGAATTCCAGAATCTGAGTGTTGCTTGGTTTGGCATCAAATGTCAATTCACCGTGTGTGTGTGTGTATGCGTGGCAACAAATCCTTGCAAACCTATCTAATTGCAAGACTTCAGCGACCAACTGTCAGGGATGGCACTTGCTGCATGCTGCAGGCCACCGGTAGCCAAAAACAGTGTTCATCATTGTTTCAGCTAAAACGGCCAAAGCGTCCAACCTCAATCGGGTACACTGGGGTGCCCTGCCCGTCTGTCCATTCACGCGCTCCAGGAAAGTGGGATGATCCACAAAGACATAGTCCACCTGGGGCAGCCACACGTTGCCGGTCGCCACTCGACAAATTGAACAACTACACTCAACGCGATGGTCGATGGACGGTCACTTCCTTGTCTGCTTGATAAGAGCAAAAATGTGGCACCTGTCATTCTGGCGGATTTTCCTGGCGCAAAAGTGGGCTTGACAAAAATATGCACAAACGCCGGCACAAGGCAGAAACAAACTCACGCATGTGGACCACCGGTGGATGAGCATGGGCCTCGTATATTGACGTGCGGGGACCAATCACTCCACTATGGCTGTGATATGGGTTCCTTCGAGGGTCAGAAAAGGATCTCTTCAGGGCCTTTTGCTAGGCCTGCCAAACTTCTAACCGTTGGACACCAAGCTTTCTTGCCGTTCAAAGTGTCAGAAGCAGCGCTCAATGTTTATAAGCCACACAATCCGGATGCTCCAAAGGCGAAGCGAGGCTTGCAACTTTGTTCTGGGTGACGTCAATTCTAGCTGGAGGTGGTCGATCTGTACTCTGTCGCTTTGGGACAATGCGGTGTTCGGTACTGAGGCTGTGGCAAACATGCTAGATTTTCAACATCAGCGCCCTTCCTTTCAGACTTACCAATCTCGCCGCAAGCCCGCCTGTGACTTTTTTGTTATCATCTCAGCCATGAACCAAGTGTCATCCCGTTTCCGCAATCCGGGCTTCACCATCCGGCATGCGTGTCGGGGCTTCGCGCCAGCCGTCCGTCCCCTGCCCGAATTGCCGTGAATTGTTGTCCCTCCGGCCTTCTGCTTGTAGGTGTGGAAAAAGTGCACTGATTCCTGGCAGGATCCACCACTGACAAAGGACGACGCCTTCCCGATGCCGCGAAAGAAAGCGGTGAGTCCTGCTTGCCGCCCATGGGGATGGAGCTCCAGTATCCGGTGTCCCAGGCCTCCTTGTACTGATCGTATCCTGAGCGAGGCATACCTTCAACCGAAGGGTGTCTTCCAAAGCGCACCAGCTGGAACCTTCTGCACACATGAAAGCTTAGACCTGCATGTTCAGGGCTTCAGGAGTGACATCTGTAAGACGACTGACAAATCTAAGTAAGAGGTACTTGATCATCTAGCAAGCTACAGCAAACCCGCAACGTATCCCGTTTTCCCAAAGAGACACCTACAACTCCTTTTACCAGTTTCATAACATTCAATAGGACAGTTTCATAACATTCAACAGGACAGTTGCATGTCAACGTTGTGGAGCCTTATCCTTTCCAGTTGCCTCCGCCAAGCCTGCGCAAAACTCAATCTCCCCAACCAAGACGCCTCTGGCCTCTGCAAGATCACGTTGGCTAGACACAGTGCTTACGCACCTACACAGCAAAGGGCTGCCCAAGTCACTTTAATCACTTGCAACAAAATAATATTGTGCTAGGCCTGCTATGGCACCAATTCTCTCCCCCCCCCCCCCGGCAAAAAAACACAAACAGGAACACAAATGCGACACAAAACAACACAACGCCACTCTGCAATGCAATGACATAGTATGTGGCAGCAACAATTGATACTGCATCAATAACTTGCAGTCACATTCTGAACTTGCAGTATCATGCCACTAATTATGTCTGTCATACTATTGATGTTTCCACCTGTAGAAGAAAAAAAACAACACATATTTGATCTGCAAATGCCTCTTGCTTTCAAAATACTCTAACAGTTTGCAGTTGGAATATAACACCGAGTGGATTGCGTCTTTGTATATATCTACAACCAACATAATAAGTGGCATTTGGCAGAGCATGTCGCCCCGAAGATGTGGGAGTTCGTCCCTGAAAGATGCTCAATGTGCCCATCAAACCGGTTGAGGCAACGTCCAAGAGTCTACGAAACAATTTCTCTATCTGCTCCCTCCAGTTGGTAGCTTGGATTGGTGGTTTGGGAGTTGAACCCCTGGTTCTTGCAGAAGGTGTATGGGACCCCCTCCTTAACCAAACCAAAGAGAGCAACCATAAACAACAACACTGTGAAGACAGGTATGCAGGGATTGAGGGCCATGAGCAACCCAAAGACATTGGCTACAGTGGTTTGCCTGGAACTTGGATCCCTTTGCCACTGGCACTTGCTGGCTCTCCGCGACCAAGTATGAAATAAGAAAACACTATGGCAAACTTCAGTGCATATAAGGCATGTAGATACATATGATTCCAGCTTCAAGCATCAAACTCGTTGCCGGAAACCAGCATAGAGACTCCCGACATGCGCCATCCACCCTCCCACCCTCCGCTTCCCCTAGGAGCCCAAGGCGCGGGGAGAAATCACCATGCAGCGGTGGCCCAAGGCAGCCAGTGCGATGGGAAGGCCATCCATCGCCTCTCCCAGTCCTGGCACGCGGAATCAATGCTCCGGCGATTTCTCCGTTGCCCCGGCAAACGCCCCTTCCGGCTCATTCCCAAAACGGGTCATCCCCATGGAATATATGTCTGATACAAGGCGCACATGCTAAAAACAAATGAACACATCATGGATTGGCAAGGAAGGATGTCACGGACGCTATGCATCCCAGGCCAATGGGTGTGCGGATTCCTTAAGCCAGTCACATTCTTCAAGCAACGGACGATCCAATGGCAAAGCTCGTGCGCACAGTTTCCGGCCGTGCCCAGGTCCTCCAGTCTTGGAAAAAGGGGCCACCTCGCTCGTGACGAAAACAATCCTCGGCGCGGGCTCTGGAAGCTGACCTAGCCCAGATTCGAACGGTCCATGACTTTTGTATTCGAAAGGGAGCGGACAACTAGTGGCAATGGTCATTCCACGTCCAGAATGAAAATCCATGTGAAAACTGCGGAAAAAAAACGCCTCGGGGCTCTGGACGAGCAACCGTTTTTGCCACTTGAACTGCAAGAGCCTCGATGGTCGCCATCTCCCAAACCACACGCAAAACTTGATCTGCGAAACAGATTCTCCTGAAGCATCCCATTCCTCAAGTCTGCGCAGATCCCGCTGAGAAAGGATCGTTCGATCTCAAACCAAGGCTCTGATATTTCTTGGAAATGCTTGTGGCGAGCTTGCCCAGCGCGCTCACAGTGCCAGGACGACCCTGGTTGTGGCGGGAAAGGGACATGAAACTTGTCGCGGGCATCTGACTGATTGGGAGGATTGCCCTTTATTGCTGAAGTATCAGTAGGCAAATGCGCAATGCGTTGCGCCATTGCCATCAGCTGTTTGTGCCGTTTAGCTTGTCAGCTGGCCAGGCTGTTTTGACAAGCTACATGTCTCTCCATCTCTTGCCACAACGCTATGTTCCGATGTGTCCCGACTTTTATTTAAGATTTGGTTGATGTCTGCACGTAAGGCTGATGGCATGTCAAGAAGTAAAAATATCCCAATCCGCAGGTGGTCAACTCTCAGTTGTTTGATTGAAGCCAGGAAGGATCATGGAGTTGACTTGGCATGTCCTGCCAGCACCCGCAAACGTCTTGAAATGTCAGAACTTATTCTGCAACCTACGCAGATTAAGTTATCGGGTCAAACATGGCACATCTCAGAATACCCTGGGAGAAATGCTGACGGAAAAACCATTGGCAACACGCATGCAACAATGGTCGATCGTTCTTTCCTGCTAAATTCAAAGGATGGGACAGAAAACAACAAGGCCATAGTTTGGCGGCTTGTATGTTTGGAGGGGAAATCAAGTTTGGCAAAGACAATCCTGCATTGACAACACCTGCCATTCCATGGTAAGCAATGAATGATGATATTGCCACTCGTTATCCTTTGATTCATGTACTAGTTACTAGAACAATCACACGTGGAGTATTCCCAAGTGACGTGCCCCCCCCAAAAAAAAGAAAACAAAAAAGAAAAGAAAAGAAACAAATAAAAATCACATAAAACAAATTGAGGTTTTCAGTTGGTTTCCTTAAAGCAAGCTGACAAGGCTGAAAAGGGAACTCTCAACGAAACACGACATGCCCGCGCGGATCCGCGCGGTGGCACATCCCTGACACATCCCCTGCTCCGACTGCTCCGACTGCTCCGTCGCCTCCGCCAAGGAGCGGCCCACGGCTACAGCAGGCGGCCCTGTGAGAGGCGCATCGCCTCAATCAGATTCTGCGAGCGCCCGTGAGCCCGCCCAATCTCGCGCCACCCGGCGGTTTGCGGTTGCGGGGCTGCAAGCTGGGGGAACCAAAAAGGAAGGGCCAGTTGGTATCAGAAGCAGTACCACTGAAAGCACTTCACACGCACAAATTGGATTTTTTAAGCCAGGAGAAAGAGATAGCATCTGCCTTTCCAAGGCTCCATCCGCTAGCCTACGGCGATTTTGTCTGCATTTAGACTGCGTGACGTTGTCACCGAAAGCGGTCAGGGCTGCCAAATGCCGCCTCTTAGGGCCCGGGCCGGTCTTGGGCAGCACTGTGGAAGCTGCCTGCAGTGTTAACACGAAGCAGGAAACAAATACTTGAGCTATGTGCCGCCGTACTTGTTCTTTGTGCCAACACACAATGTCTGTGCCTTCGCGCATTCCTGTGAATCATTGGCCAAGCCAAAAAAGCTCGGGATTCGTTGAGACGAGCTTCACCCCACCTGTAGGTCCAGTTTCCTGCTAAATGCATAAGTGATACATACTTTGGCAAATGCAGAAGGACTAGCCCCCTGGTCACATTGAATGGCAAACCGGCGCGGGCATGGAGTTTCATCAGCATCTGTCATCAATCATGGTGCAAAAACAGCCGGTCCTCTACGGCTTAATCATGTGTTCTTCTTCAGTTTGAATACATCGGCAACCATGCCTTGGCATAGCTCCTTGCCGGCCCCACCGTGCTGGTGGGGTAGCCGCTCTCCGCCACCTCTGCTGCGGGGGTCGGTTTGCCGCTGACGATGTTCAGAACCTCAGCACTCAATTGGCCCTTTGCCTGCACGGGAACGATCAGCAGCACTGGGGCAGGAATTGGAGGCCCTTTGTGTTGAACATGGGGTCGCGGGGCTCTGGGCTTGATGGAAAGCTTGGGCTTGATGGAATTTGGGGATGGGTCTGACACAAATCAACATTACGTCTGGTCTCAGATTACTTGCAGTCAAGCGGAACGCTCCCTGGTGCTGCCTGCGTGGCCGTCTGCGGAAGAGGCCGGGAACTGATCGGCACCGAGGCAGACTTGGCCTTCGCCTGCGCTCAGGGTGGGCAAGGCATGGCTCGTTAAGAAACCTCCAGTCGAAACTGCGTGTTGAAATCACTGAGCCGTACTTAACCACCACCGCCACCGCCACCGCCACCACCACCGCCACCGCCACCGCCACCACCACCACCACCACCACTTCATCATGGAAACCCTGTCATGACAAAACCAACACTATACCCAGCTGTGCACATTAATTAGACTTCTTGCATTGTCACAGCAGTGCCAACATGTCTTTGTCACAAAATGGAGTCATTTGAGTCTAATTGTCCTACAAAACAGATTGCATCAACGAATGACAGTTAAATGCGGATTGCCAGAACCCAGATAATTGCGTGAAATAGTGAAACATGTGCGAGTGCATGTCTACTGAAACCGTCATCCTGCTCATGTGTGCAGGTCTACAAGGAACCCTCCAATTTGGGATAGTGACGCACGGATAGAATTGTCCTGCTCCGTTGTGTTTGTTTTAAGTTCGGGGTTAGCCTGCCTTGCAAAACAAAGTGACATGTCCGAAGGAGATTTCAACTACTTGTCGTAGATATTGGGATGATGTATGCAGCTGCCAAAAAGCATCCAGTGTACATTCACAACACGCATTGACATGTTATTTGGCTACATTTCAAGCGGTTGGATTCGGATTCTGGCGTTCATATTTGGGCTGAAAATAATCACGAACGAGGAAACCCCTCTTCTGTTCACAAGGTATGACCACGACCACGAGAACAACCACCACCCACAGCAACTAGTTCAAGTTCAAGGCTACCTACATAGACCAGGATTGAACATCCAGAATTGCCGACCATGGCTCTCAACCCGAAATATGAAGAAACATATTTACGTCTTGTGTTGCAAAGAAGTTGTGGCGTTGCGTTGGGCTCAAAGGGCTGCACTCCTTCCCTGTCCCTCTCTGCCTTGGGCGCTTCAGCCTTTGCGCCAACACCTGCAACTGGGAATCCAAGCAGGCCCTTTGCAATGTAAATCTGTTTCAATTGAGCCGCAGCCAAACTGAAGCTTCTCTGAATCCTTCATTTAAAAGACTCGCCTTCATTGCTGAGGGTCTTTGGTCACGTAATCTTGCAGTTTCTTCCCGTAGTCTTCCCACAATCCTCCCGTAATCCGAGTACTTCTCATCTAACACAAATCAAAAGAGCCAATATGCAAACTCAAGTTTTCATGAAGAAGGGCTTTGCTGTACGGCCGATCCCGTTTCAAGACCTGCTCGCGCCCTGCAATAGTTGCCCAATGTACAATCATACTCCCAGGGTGGTTTGGGATCCGTACGTGTGTGGTTGTCCACCGCTGAATTTTCAACTCATTGCAACAAAAAATAGTTTGCCATCCAAGCTATTTTGCTTGGCAATGCTCTGGGCAATGTATTTGGTGCACGGCTTCCTCTCCAATTTACAACCACCAAGAATCCAACAAATCCTAGCTATCCACATGGTCACATTTGGCTTGTTCCTCTGAAAGCTGCGCGGAAACACTCGGCACGATTCATGCAATACCCTCCTCCTCAAACTGCTCAAAGGGTCTGTTCGGGCATGAGAGCAACCAATGGTATAACTGTTTCCCCTTTGAAAAACATGAACACCTCTGCGAATGCACTGAAAAGAGCAGCGAAGCGTAGCTGCCTTGCATGAGTGGTCCCATTACTCAATGACGAAAGGCACACGCCACAAAGATTTCGCTTGCGATCGGTCCTTTGGCCATCACGGAGCCAGTGGCTGCCAAGCGCTGAGTGGCCGTGATGGGCTTCTTGCCTTCCTGCCGCTGGGACACCCAAAACGCTTTCTCTTGCAGCGACATGCGAATTAAGCTGGGTTTTGCGTGCCATGCCCACACGGGACATCACATTCCTTTGTTGCGCATGTTCCAACACTTCTCAATAGCTCAGAACACAGGCACTCATATGAATGAGGCTGAGGCTGCAGAAACCTGGCTCATCAATCCCCGGAGAGCACCACAATCAACACCAATAAGCAACACATCTACACAACAAACCTTAGGGAATCTACAGCACACAAGCGATTGGCCAACAGTCTCTGCAAAAACTTTTGTGCAAGTGCAATGCTTCTTTGGCTCTACCAATGGACTGCCTCCGCCTTGAAAAAAACGCCTCCATCACCGCTGCTGCCGACGCCGGCGCTGCGGGGCTCGCTTTCGCCGCCGCTGACGTCGGGCCAGTGGCGCTGGCACGAGGGGCTCCAGGCGCGGCGCTCGCGGCGGCGGGGGCAGTGGCACTGCCGGCTTTTGGGGCGGCACTGGCTCCAGTGGTAGTGCTGGCAACCTGAGCACCCAGCGCACTGAAGTAAAACATGAACGATCGCAAGGACCAGTTCCAAACACAACCGGATGTTTGCACTGCTTAAGCTGTTTGTTTTCTCTGCTGATCGCACTGAAATGATTTTGAACAACAACACCTGTTGACCACTCGCCATCTATTAATCTACCAACGTTGCTATTCACCCGCACGAACTACCTGCCATCCATCATTTGTACTTGCAGAAGAACACAAACTTTGTGCGCGGGGTGCGCTCTGTGCACTGCTTTGGCAATGGTCTGTACCCCTCTCTCTCTCTCTCTCTCTCTCTATCCCTGAAATTTGCATACATCTGTTCGCTTCACCCACTGCCACCTCAATTCTGAATCCTGGGATTTACATGTCTACATCCCTGGATTCAGGTCTGGATAGAGCCAAGATTCCCAAATTCTCAGCATACACATGTTATAAAAGTGCTATTAGGTGTTTTCCTTCAATCCGGGGACGATTGGTTGAAATCGGCTGAGTCATCAAACAATGCGCAAGCAGCAACGGCGGGTTGCAAGTCCATGTCTGCACGGATGGATCTTTCGCGCCTCAACCCTTTGTCATGTCTGGACCCGCCTCTTAGTCGTTTGTATGACATGCTATCATGATACAAAGTTGATCAACGCCATGCAAAGGGGATTGATTCCTCTGTTCGAACTCACTTGAAACATGAGTTTACAGCATCGGCTAAAAACCCGTGAGAGTATGGCTGAACAATTTGCGGCATTTGCATTGGACTGCCAGCCACGGGAGTCGCACCACCCAACCCTTGCCTTGGAGATGCCGGCCAGCTCGGACGCTTTGCTTGGGGCTGCCTGGCGGCAGACTAACAACGAGTCCTGCGGCAAAGCGTGCTTTGCAGTTTGTGATGAAGCCACTGAAACCAAGAGACGCGAACTACGTGAGAAACATCGAACAAATACACAGCAACTCTCCTGCATCTTGAACCAAAAGCAACAGTAAAAATACGTTTGCCATTCGAACCGCCTTGCAGAAAAAACTCACGTCCTCTCTTGCTCACGGCTTGAGGACGTGGGCAGCTTCCGCCACATGCTTCAAGCCACACGTTTTCATTCAGGGCCGCACGGTGTCACAGCACAATGCGCCCGCGTCAAAAACAGTTCTTCATCCCCACGCCTCAAACGAACGCGAGTGATGGCTGTGGGTCAAATCCCGTACCCCCAGTCAACATCCCAATCCCCACTAAAATAGGTTCTAAACTGGGTGATAACCTACCCCAAAATGGGATCTGATTGGTTTTGGCCCCAGCCTACAGCTTCGCCCACGTAAAACGAGCCAAGGCGTGCAGCCTGATCCCACCCTTCCCGCCTTGGGTTCTGCCGCCTCCTTCTTCATGGAGTCTTGCTTGGGATCATCCTCCCTGGCCTTTGCGGCCGCTGCCACTTCACTGGCCTCACAGGCCACCAGGTGTCCCTTTAGGGGAAATAGATGGATATCCATCTGGTAGATTAAACCAGGTAAACCAGGGAAACCCGTCGATTTTTTTTGAGCAAAACAACCAAAAAGGACACCTGTGCTCACAGGACTATACGTGTCCAGTTTTTTCCAACTATGCAGAAACACTATTGGAACGTTGGTTTTTGCAAATAGCTCAGACACCAAAACCAACCAAACATGTTTTGCAAATAGTTCAAGGTTGGTTTTGGTTCAAACACAAAACATTCTTCAAAACCAAAAATGCGCCGACCCTCTGAGCATGACGTCCGTCATTCGAGACACGGAAGGGGCACCTCTTCCCCCGGCCTTGGCCACAGGGGTCACAGCAGGAGCAGTTGCTGGGGCTTTTGGCGCAGACATGACCTGGGCCAGTGTCACGGCGCGGAAAACGCCAAACAAACTTCCAAATCTTCCGAACACTAGCATGGACCCCGGAAAATTATCAGCTTGTGTGACCCAAGGCAAACATGGGATACAGTTGGCGCCAATGAATTTCAAAATTGAACAGTTTTGCGGTCGTGTTGCCAACATTGCATGGGATGGTAGGCCCAAATTGCCACGAGTTCGTGCCAAACCTGATCAAGTGATGTCATTCAGTCATCGATGCCGCGAGCCAAATCCAACTCGGGACAAGCAACGTTGAAGTTGTTGGGCAATTGCAGTTTCAGAACTGCGTCAGGCACGCACACGCACCAAAGCACAAACGGCTGCGAGGACGCGAACAAACTCCCATCGCACCAAAATATGCAAATGCGGATACTTGTCAGTGTCATCCAGTGACCTAATTCATCCGCCCACACATGTCTGCACAATTGACAAAAATCAATGTCAAAATCCAGAGACAACTTGGCACTCATTCAGGAGTTCTGGCTCACCTGGAACCATTAAGAACCTTCAAAAGGGGGAAAAGTCAAGGTTGTTCAAATCAAGGGTTGGCCAACTTGATGATTCCCATCCACAAATCACGCAAAACACCAATCTCATAACCTAAAGTAGACATCAGCTTAAAACAGGCCAAATAGCTTCGTGATTTGCCGAACAAGTTGCCAACAGGTGATTGTCGTCAACGCCGCAGTCTGCACAACACCAACAATATCAAGGCAATTCCAATATGAATCTCGGGATCAACTCTTGCCTCGTGAGTCAAACGTGTTTGCTCATCCCGTGATTTCTTGTGCCCACTGAATCAATTGATTGAGAAACTGTGCAAATTGTGCGAAATGAGCACCAAAAACACGATTTTGTTCTGGACACCCTCTTCCAGCAGCAAATTCAGGGTGTACAATGTGACCCTGCTTGGGAAATTAAGGGGCCCGCTGCAAAGTGTAAAAACCTCAAAGGGAGGTCTCTTAATTTTTGTACAGGGACATACAAAGGTAAAAGTGAATGTTCATGCCAATGCCCCTTGATTTGTCCCTGGAACGAGCTGACTATTGCGTATCAGTATACAATGTTCGATTTGACTTGGTCCCCAAAAGCTTGGCGGATAGCTTGAACACCCTTCTTCAGGAAGGTGTTTAAACCCTGCATCAAACGGCCTTCAGCTCTCCAAAGATCAGGTAAATTCTTGATCTTTGGTTTGGGGCAACGGCCAAATCACCCAGCCAGCTATAACAAACACGGAAACAAACATAATTTATGTCCGTCCTGCCCCCCCCCCCCCCGGCGCTGACCGAGAACTCCGATCACTTGGCTGTTGAGCAAAACGGAAATGCAAGAATTCAATGGAGTTTGAGTTTTGCATCAAATGTTAATTCATCGTGCGCCCGCGTGGCAGCAAATCGTTACAACATCGCCAACGTCCAATTGTCAGACTTCAGCAGATCACATGCAACTCGTTCCACCCGTGTTTTCTTTTCGCGGAACGCACAGGTTGTGACAGCAAACACGGTGCGTCATCAGTTGGCTTTACATGCCACCATATGCCACCTTTAGGGAGACAAGGGCACCAAATGAGCGTTGCGTGTGACTTCCGTCTTGTCACCAAAGATCCACCGTGTTCCGCACGTCTTGGTGTGCTCCCTCATGGGAGCGGGAGATTTCCTTCTCCAGCTAGAGAAACTGGCGGCAAAAACGCAAAACATGCAAGAGCCAGCAATGGCGCCGCCTGTCACATCGTTTCGAAACATCCGGTACAAGCGCTACGGCATCCACGAGCGAAGGGCTGGGCCTGACCTGCTCTTTTCGAACCGCATGGGGCCACAATTGCGTGCAAAACCCACACCACGTGACCGGGCTGAAGACCCACAACTAACTGCTCCTACTTGGAAACGAGCGCAAACCCAGCCCAGGAACAGGAGAGCATGCCAAGCCGTTCAGGCGCCCCATGATTCTTGTTTTCGATTCTTTTCACACCCCTTGCTCAATGTCACCCATGGATTCCACAGCAAGGTGTTGGGCTCCTGATGCCCGGCCCTTCTGGCAGCTCAGGACCAAACTGCTGACTTCGCCGTGCACTTTGCCCACTGTGGCCCCCAAGCCAATGAAGCATGCAACGCAGTGTGAGAAAAAACAGCAGCAGAATTATCAGCAAACAATGACCCCAACAACCTGTAAAACATGTCGAGACTCATGAGGCCACCTTCTTGGAACAAACAGGTCAAATTCATTCAAATTCATTCACAAAAGCAAGCAAGCGAAACAAACGAAGAAGCAGGCCAGCAAGCAAACCAAACAAACAAAAATCGTGACATACTTGCCACTGCATTGAAGGCCTCCTCGGTTGAGACCAGGTCCAAGTTCCCAAATCAAAAACTCCTCCGAGCCTGCGGTCACCCAAAGTGCAACATAGTCTTCGGCAGAGGCCCTGCGCCTCGGGGCTGCTAAGCGAATCCAAAAGCACGGTCGAAGCGGATCTCACATGCACTCATGAGCACTGGCGTGCCCATGGGCCCCGTGTGAGGCCAGTTCTCGAATTTGTGGCGTCGCGATGCGCCATGCGCATCGCATGGAAAAAAACACACTACGAGAAGCATGTCAGGCAAATACCTGGGAGCTTGCCCGCGCGTCAGCCTGGCTGTGGTCAAAGCAACTGACACATGAAACAACTGAAACAAGCACAGAGATGTCCATCCCAGCGACCTGGTGAGAGTTGTCTTTGGTGTTGCTCAATTTTGAGCCTGGCATGCTGACACAGGAGCAACCCGTGGCCGGCCCACTCCAATCCCTTTGGGAGGTGGGCCAAGCAGAGCGCAAATCCGGATTCTCTCCAGGTTCTTCTCTTCACCCTTCGTGCCCTGCCTTACCCGCGAGTTCAATCGAGTTCAAGTGTTTTTCGCATTGGGGCATCCACATCTTCTGCACAGCCTGCCACCCATGATTGTCCCCCTGCAGAACTTCGCCTTGTCACTTCTGGTGTCAACCTTTAGGGGGGTTCAACGGTTGAACCCATTCAGTCCTCACGAACAGCACAGGAAGGAGCCCCGGTAAGAATCCCGGAAGGCAAATCGTCTTCTTGCGCCCGTGCGCCCGGTGCGCAGTCGGTGCACCGGCGCACGGAAAACCCATGCGAAAACGATGGCCGCAGTCCGTGCTTCAGCGGAAGCCAAAGCCCGAAGGGCGCACATCTTCCTGCTCCAGACGCTTGGCCATTTTACCCATCAGCACTCCTCGGCGACACCCATTGCATCCCCAAGTGCTTTGGTTTCGGATGCTTGCGGCGTCTGCAAACCTGTAGGTGTCGCTTCTTTCCGAACGGGAAACGCGAAAGACCTTGATGAGTAAACATCTAAAGTTCACAAGTGGTGCTGCCAGTCATCCCTTCACAAATGGAAGGGCCGCCCTCATTCATATCGTCAACCTTAAGTTGCGTTTGAGTAGGGGTTTCGGAATCTCCCCAAGGCAGGCTTGACATGGTAGTTTTTGACATGGAAATGACAATCTAAGGACCTGAGCATGTTGCTCAATCGAGATTCATCCTGGACACAAAGCCCAATGCTTCATTCAGAATAATTCTCCGTCTCCTGGTTTGCCATCAACAAATGCACAAATGAGCTCCCAGCTCCGCTGGTTAGGCTTTTTTTTCCGGCCCTTGCAGCCACAGTGTCGGAACTCCTCCTCCGTGATGACCTGGTCACCATCCAAATCCCCAGCCTCCAGGATGCTCTTGACCGTGTCGTTGCAGCCAACCACCCTGACGTGACGAGAGCCGGCTGGCACATGCCAGCCCGGCTGAAATCGATTTCACGCCCTGGCCTGAACAGCTCATGTGGAGAGATATGACCTGTCTGGTCAATGTCGAGGTAGTGAAAAACCTGCCGCACGAAGGCAAATGCACAGAAATGTTTGCTGGGTTTCCACTCTAGAGAACCTCCTGCAAGCAAAACGCATGTCGCAGCAAAGTAGCAGGGTCTCCCCCGATCCAAGCGGCCTTTCACAAGCATCACCGGCTCAACATCAACACCCGCAAGAAGTGAATCATGGGTAAAACCACCAACATTCAGGCTCTTCCAGCCAGCCGGCCTGCTTAATGGCCTTGTCAGTGGCCAGCGCTGATGGCTTCATGGTCGCCGCTAGCCATTCAGTGTAGTGCACCTTTCCTGCAATCCAATGCCGACTGCTCATATACTCTGCGCAAGGCGAAATATAAAGAACGGTTGCATTCCCTCTCAGCCCTCTTAGACTGATGAGGGTGAGGGGCCCCTGTCGTTGCCCTTCAGCCCCCAGCTACTGGGCAATTTGGACCACAGCTTCGACAAAGCCTTTGAGCCTAATCAAGCATCTTGAAATGAGATGGAGTCTGACCACCCCCCCCTCTCCCCCGTTACTGCCAAAAAGCGAAAAAAACTTGCTCATTCAAGGCTTTGCGTGCCAGCAGTGCTGCCCTTTTGAAATTGCTCTCTTTTTCGGGTCCAAGTCTTTCAACCACGTCGAATCACCGCAACGCTGTCCCGTGCCATCTGCGTCCAGGGCGTGGAAGATTTCATCCACCTCCGCTGCCTGCAGCCTTTGCCCGCAGCGGATCCCTTCCTGGGCGACCGGAGATGCGGTCATGGCAGCCGTGAGCCCAGCATTGCAGCTGGCGCCAGCCCCCCAAACAAACAGCTCAGAGAAAGTTCGAGAAACAAGGAAACAGATCAGCGATGAATCCATGAAGCTTGGGCTTGATGGGTCAGGTCAAGCACGCTCATGCGCTGGCTTGATACCACACAACGCCACCACCCACTCAACATCACCTCGACCACACGGCTGGCCGCGCATGCCAGCGCTTCTAACCCCCCCCCCTAGCGCGACCTTCACCTGCCTGATGTCCAAATCACACCCTGATCAGCAGGCCGGAGCCATCAACACTTGCTGGAGAACTAACGCAGCTACTTGGGCGTGTGAAAGTCTCAGTGCGGCAGCGCGTCTCTGATCTCATCCTTGCTCAAAGATCCTTGGCAACAGAGTTCAACAAACAGCCTTTCACATCGCAAATTCAGAGTGCAACACGCCGTTGTGAGGTAACACCCCAGACATGCACGCGCTTTCTTGGGCGCTCTTTGGCCAGGCATCAGTATGACAAGATGACTGATGCAAAGCATGCAAAACACAACACTCGCATTTCATGGATGGGTCTGGCCAAATGCTCGGGTATGCTCAGGCGCCCTACAACCCCCCGAAGTATACCCACCGGCTCCTTTAGGCACCAGCTTTGATTTGGGAGCGCTGTTGATTTGGGAGGGCTTCGAGGCAGCCCCCAATCAGCCAGGCTGCCTGTGCGCGAAGTGTCCAGTGCGTGAAAGGCGTCGCGCAGCTCTGCCACGTGGTGCTCCTGCGCATGCCAAACGTGCAAGTGTTCTGGCAGGTCTCCGAGTGGTAGCTTACATCCCCATGAAACACACGCACAATCACACACAGACGCCTCTCAATACCCGCCGGCCCTTACAGCGGACATCACCCCTAGCATCACCGGTGTTTGAATAAAGGCCACAAGCTAAATCGAACCGTCGCCTCCCTGGCGATGCTGGGGACGCGGAAAGACGGCATGTTTCGTCGTTTCGTTGCAAATACTAGTTCAGGGAGCCCAAGTATCACCTGTGGTTTAGTAGAGGGGAGGTTATTCCGCTTGCCCCACGTAGATGATACGCTGCTTTGCAAATAAAGTGGTCGACACCCCCAACATCACCTGTGCAGCATAGTCAACATCACCAATGCTTTGCTAGTGCAGTGCTTGGCTAGCACTTGAATCAAGAACGCGATGTGTTGCTTCTGTTTCACTTGTTTACTTACAGCGGCCATCACTCCCAGCATCGAAAGTGCTTGCATAGAGAACAAGTTAAATACCTTGCACGGGATATTCAACTGGAATACAGTGCACATACAGTTGCACAGCGTTATGTTTTTCTTCTTCAGGGAATTCAACAGTGAGATTAGGCATCGATGCTGGGGATGCAAACATTAGGAGCATATCGCGGATCCAAGTATTTTAGTAAAGGAGATGTTTAGATTAGATTATGGATGCAATGAGTACCGAAGATGTAGCTTGTGCGGGGTGGCAATTTTTGTTGAATGTATTTTCGTGCGCTCCTCGGAGCGATGCGCTACCAGCGTCAGCACCTCAGTTGCAAGGGGGCGAACTCGCGTGAGGAAGGGCATCAGTCAAAACCAGAAAACGGTGCGGCCTCTGGGAATGATTGGCATCCACAAGGCCTTTGCAGCGTTGTTTTTAAGGTTGGACCCCCAAGAATGGTCAAAGGGTACCCTCAAAAAAGACACCCATATCATTGAACCAAAGTTGGAAACACTCCCAACGAATCCAAATCGAGCAAGAAACCGCACAGTTCAAGCCGCTCTTGCCCGCAAGTGAGCGATTGATATCGCCAGTCATGCCTGGAGCCAAAGCCTAAGCCTGCATCATTTTACTGGCCTGCCAAGTCATCACCACAGATCGAGCCCTTCATGCGTGCAAGCCGTGATTGGCCGTAATTTGCAGCTGGCCTGCGCTATCATGCGCATGTTCGGATTGTTCGGCAACATGTAGACAATTTCAGGGGCACCCTGAATTTCAAGAATGAGGGCTGAAACTTGGCAAGCCTTCGCCGCGAATCGTGGGGTGAGGGCTTCAAGCCTTCGCAGGCCATGAACAAAAGATGCTCCGAGCCACTGCGCGCTCGAACTTTGAGAGGTGCCGAAATCTGGCCAGCCGACCTTGGATGGGCTTCTCGGATGATGTGGACTGGCCTAGTCTCCGAGCCTATGGTCGAGATGGGCAAAAGAGGGGACGACGCCAATCGGAACCATCGGAACCCTAGATAAAACCACACAGCTTGCAAGCAAACAAGGCCCTCCAAATCCACGCCAACGGGCTTTTGGGGCATACGGAATCCATGGGCAAACTCTGCAAAAGCCATCCTTTCCCAACACCAGCAATATCCTGGTTCTGGAAGATGACAGGAGGCTTTTGGAGCCGCTGTGAATAGTTTCTTGAGCTCTCTGTTCAAAGTTGATGGTTCACGTAGCATTTCCAGCGTGTTCTGCAGCCCATCCCCTGCAAAGCCCGCTTCCGAGCTGCGGAGTGTACCTGGGCTGCAAGCTCTGAATGCAACAGCTTCCGAGCTATCCTTAGACCCTTCAAATCCAAGGTGAATCCGTGTGCCTATCACCTGCTGCAACCTGAGCAAGTAGCAAGCGTTCCCCCCGCTTGGCGCATTGTGCCCTTACATGCCATCTCACACAAGCAGCATGCGTCAGTGCCTGCAGATCGCTCTCTCTCTCTCTACCGTTGCATCCAGTCATGGTCCAGCAGCGCCAGGCAACGAAACAAAACAGCCAAAGGCCCTACCTGCAGATCGCTGCAGCCCCAAAATATGACACACCTGCCTTTCTGCAAGACAGCTGGCAGGACCCCCAAAACAAACCAACAACAAACACCACGCTTTTGAACACAGCAATAAAGAACGTGGCAGCGTAGCGGCAATTCCTTTATTTGGATTGATGCAAGCTATGGCTGGAGCAAAGGCTGAACAAACGTTGAAAGCCAATGCGTGTTGTCTCACGTCCCCTCTCCCTGTCTATTGAAATAATTGCGATCATGATCGGATCGCCATCCGATTGAATAGGATGTCACAAGTGAGTCAGTGGCCCTAGCCGCCAAGCCCTTGCGTCCTCTAGGTCTGAGTGCGATCATGGAAAGCATCTTCAAGAATCTGCTAGGGCATCCTGGAAACGATTGTCATCGGGCGGAACTATGGCATTGGCGGCCGCTTTCAGTTGAAAGGCTTGACGAATCAAGGCTTGAACTTGGCCCACATTGCCTTCCCACACCTCCTGTTGAGGTGCCGTTTGTCATGGGCGACATTGGTGTGGTGGTCGACTGCTCAGAGGCAGGCGAGATATCTCCGCTTCGGCTTTTGCTCCTGAGCTTCTTCAGCGGAACGGGGATCCGCGGGCGTCTGTCCTGGCCCCAGTTCGCCATGCTTTTCCCCTGCCCGAGCATGGTACAGCTCCCACAGCAGCCAAAGAGAAGGGAACCCACCAAAGGCACTCGTCCAACTTATTCCAACGTATTCTACTTGTGGCTGCGCAAGAGACTTCAGAGACTTCCAGACTTCCTCGCAAAATCACAAGGATTCAACCAATTACTCTGCCCTCAACCAGCTCAC